GTTCTTCTTATGTTTCCGCTTATGCTTATGTTTATGTCGCGGCTGTTTTCACTTGTGCCTATGCTTATGCTTGTGCTTGTGTTTATGTTCTAGTGAAAACCAACCTTAAATCCTACCGCTCAGAAGGACAACCGAGGATTACTTGGAGCGAGTTTCCGAGTCGAGCAGGTTTCGGAAATTGTCGGCGATTCTAATATGGCGGACTATACCAACCACATAATATGCGAATTGCCAGTGATAAACTATGTTGATCAACAAGACAAGTACGTTTTCATTTACCTTACATGTTAAGAATAAAGTGTAGAGAGTAAAGCAGTGAATTGTTCGGCAAAATGCTGTATATTTCTTTAGGTCTCTTCCCGTCTAGTTCGTAAACCGTAAATTTGTACGCTAACATTGTAGACGTCTTTGACTTAGGCACAAGAGTTTTTAAATACTTCTTTCCTTGAGGACGAAGTTTTTCATTGAGCTCTTGATTCGGTGGATCCCCGAATTCAAACTTCCTTTGCCTTGTCCCTCTGGCCGGTAGGATCTTAAAAATACTACCGTCCAGAGGGACAGCTTGTGTATAAGGTAATTGGACTTAAGTCCATTCACAGTTTTATATGCAGAATAGTTTGATACATTGCTCTTTAGTTTTATACCACACTAGAATCACTCTACAGTAATATTTTCATTTTTCTGTGATCTTGTCCCTGACTGGCCGGTAGGATCTTGAAAATACTACTGGCCAGGGGGACAACTTGTGTATAAGGTAATTGGACTTGAGTCCATGCACAGTTTTATTTGTAAATAGTTTGATACATTGCTCTTTAGTTTTATACAACACTAGAATCACTCTACAGTAATATTTTCAGTTTTCTGTTATCTTGTCTCTCTGGCCGGTAGGATCTTGAAAATACTACTGGCCAGAGGCACAGCTTGTGTATAAGGTAATTGGACTTGAGTCCATGCACAGTTTTATTTGTAAAATAGTTTGATACATTGCTCTTTAGTTTTATACTACACTAGAGTCACTATACAGTAATATTTTTACTTTTCTGTGATCTTGTCCCTCTGGCTGGTAGGATCTTGACAGTCCCACCGGCCAGAGGGACAGCTTGTGTATAAGGTAACTGGACTTAAGTCCGTGTGCATTTTTATTTGTAAAATAGTTTGAGACATTGTTCACTAGTTTGATATTACAGTAGAATCACTCTACAGTTAAATATTTTCGGTTTTCTGTGATTTTGTCCCTTTGGCCGGTAGGATCTTGAAAATACTACCGGCCAGAAGGACAGTTTGTGTATAAGGTAATTGGATTAAGTCCATGGTGTCTGTAAAGGTCTATTCATGCTCTGTGGCCATTGCAATAATTCAATGAACATGACAGTATCTATGTGGAAGTTTAAACTGAACAATGGATTTAGAGTGTTAATTTAGTGAGGGAAATTGTTATATATATGTACATGTACAACTGATAAAGAAAGTATGGAGACTAATCCTTTGCAAGCAAATTCAATATTTTACTATTGATGATAACTTCTGAGTTTTTTTGAAGGTACACTCCTTCAGTTTGGTAGCATTTGTGGTAAAATCTGCTTTTTCATCGCTTCATGGAGAGAGGGAATGTCATCCTAGAAAATAAAACAAACATGGTGAATTTCTGCAACAAAGTGTTATATAAATAGGAGATGTGTAGTTTTGTTCAAAATGATGTTTCATTACTTTGTCATGTGATGATAAGTGTTGATACTTGCTTTTGATTCAAAATACCTGGTTGAAATTAGGAGTTTTTCCTCTGCTGAGGTGCTCTGCAAACTAAACATAGATAATTAAGCAATGAGTTTAAAATGTATCACTAGCACAAGTGATCAGTTAAGGTGAAGATGAACACTTTGATTTGAATTAACTCAAGCCAAGCTAATTATTTAAAGAAACATTCTAGTTGATGGAATATGGTATTTGCACAACTTACCATACAGACAAAGACGCCACAATCATAATCATTCTTTTGCTTTTGTGTATCCTATGTATAGTGATTCAATTAAAATGTGTAAGAAAATGTTCAGTCAAAAGAGCTAGGGCTTGTGTGGACTAAGTGCAGACCAAGATTTTGGCACATTTATATTACCATAAATCTAACTATCTGGCATATAATTAACTGACATCATCGCTACCATGTTGGATGACCGTTAACAAAAGAATTAGCTTTATTGTTCTAGTCATCGAACGTGGCTGCCAGAGTCTTTGTCACTTGAATTTCTTGGGAGTGGTTGCAAACTACCTATAGAACTTTCTTTTTTGCCATGGGAAAGTGATCCTTCCAATTGTCCTCCTTGTACAGCTTTCCTCGCTTGGTACTTTCTTCCTTCAGAAAATCCCTAGTCACATTTTATCATCGAGGCATTGGTTAGTAAACTGATCTTGAGGGACACTAATGCATTTTCATAATATTTTTTTTGTTTTACAAATGGATTATTGGAAAAGATACCTAACTTTCTTGTAGAATAATTTATTGGCTGTAGCTGTCTAAAGTGAATCCCAGTAAGAGATGGTTCTTGTTGTCATATTTATGACCTAGGAATGGGTAATAAACATGTTAGTTACTTTTTTTTATGAGTTAATTCCCTTCTTCCCAACCTTCTTAACTTTCAAGGATAGAGGGGAGAGGGTCAAATAGTTGATTCAGTTTGATATGCTACATACTATTTCCATAAAAAAATGTGAAGTATATCATACCCCAAGTGTCCAATGACAGGGAGGTGACAAGGTATGAAAACCTTATCAAAAGCAAATATGTTGGTCTGATGAGAAAATATAGGAGACATAGTAATAAGTATCAACAGCATTCGTAAGGGAAACTGACTAGCGCATGGCAAGACTCTATAAAGTAGAGTGGCAAACAGGGGAAGAGTTGGTGTATCATTAATTTTATTTCAGTTTCGCTTTCTTCTCGGTCGGTGCCAAATAATGTTCCCTAGTCAACTACTACTTCTCCAACACAGAGATCGCTTAATGTAATTAAGATGTAATGCCTATAAATTATTGTGTATTACCTTATTTCCTCGTTCCTTTATTAGTTCCATGTCAAAGTTGATAATCTGTATTTAGTTCGAAAAGAAAAGACTACTTGTTATGAAAAGACAGCGTTGATAGGTCAAGGGACAGACATATACATTGGTTCAGGTTTTTTTTTACTTTCCTTCCCGTATAAGCATGTCAACTAACTATATAGTATGAGTATTATAAGTGATGTAAGTGTTGTAAGTATCGTTATTACCGCAACTGTTGTACGTAGTGTAAGGAAATAAAAACAAAATTTATATTGAAAAGAAAAATATTGTGACATGAAGTCAGCAATTGTACATGTTGCAGTTGCAGTTGAGGTGTATCGTAAAATATGTTCCTCATACGTTAGTTGAAAAAAAAAGATGTACTAGTACCTGATCATTTAACCAAGTCTTTGGTTGCAGTGTTTGGAAGTCTTTGTCAGTGATTTTGAGGTTAAAACCATTTGCTACATAGACTTGATCATCTTCCTTTGTGGCGGTTTTCTCGTCCGAGATTGTAATTACCGGTTTTCCACTATAACAGCAACAACAACAACAACAACAACAACAATGAAAATCGGTTTTATTAAAAAAACTAAAGTAAATCAGTTTATTTAAGTTTCATGTTGTGTGGCTCTGCTGTGCATACTGGGGACACTGTTACTATAAATCCAGAAACAAATTGAAAAACTGTTTAAACGCCAACTGGTTGGAGGATGACCAGTTGGCTATTTACAAGGGTTGCCAGTTACACGACGGGCAGGAACTGAATTCTGGATTACCGAACAGAATACCATCCAGCGGCAGGAAGGAGGAATGAGCCCGGAACCTTTCATAACAAATATTAGACCACGACGCCTCCTGTTAACAATTAACGAGGACTTGTGGTACATTCTAATTACCTGCTGTTACTCTTTAACGCCGTCATGGAATTGTGTAAATTCCGAAGACAGTCTTTAGATGTAACAAGCACCGTCATCAACTCGAAGGAACGCCTTGTGTAAGGGATATTGGTGGCAGTGCTTGTTGAATTGCCGGTACTGTTGGTTTCCACAAAGCGTTTAAGATAGGAGTGGAATTCATTTACATCTTTGAAGTCGATGATGATGGCTGTACCGTCGCCACTAACAAATCCAGAGTCGTCCCGAGAATGTGGGTCGAAGAGCCTTACAGAGCCGTCAGCACGTAATTGGACTGCAGTTGTGTATTCTCCCACCCTTAACAAAGCACCAGTTGCCTCTTTTGCCTTTTCTAGAGCACCATCCAAAGTTTCAAACGGAGGCTGAGGCTCAGTTGCCAATATATCCCCAAACTGGCTAGGTCCAAACTGGAGCTGTTTCTTGTCTTCACCAATGATACCCTTGATGGACTCCTCTAGCTCATCCAACGCTAGCTTGGCAACCTTTTTTCTCCCTAAGGATGCATTGAAAGCTGCGTGAAGCTGGTCGCCCTGTTTAAGAAGTTCGTCCCTTTCTGACACTGATGAGATGGTTGAATGTTTGTCTTGGAGGAGAAAAACAAAGCTATTTGTAGTACACTGGGTACCGCGTGTCCTCACAGAGAATTGTTCAGCTCCCTGATGCGTCGTAGCTCTTACCTCTGAAGACGAAAAAGAGAACTTACCCAATAAAATAATTTAATTTGTGAAAATCCTAATATTTAAAGATTGTAACGCGATTCCAATATTCCTTTTGTTTTTTTGTGCCGATTTCAAGAAATGAAGGTAAGAAGTCAAACTGTTTGCTTGTAGATGCTATGAAGATTATGCGATCACGATCTTTGCTCTATGGGCAATATTTCAAAATTTCATGTAGTATATAAAACTGTCAATTTAATATTGACTCATTTCATTTGCCTAACAGACATGGGGATATGGTAGACCCGGGAAGGTCACTGGAGGCTTGCGAAGCTGGTTCTTCAGCAGGCGCATAGGGAGGAACGTTTTGAGAGGAGTCAATACTGGGTTCAGCATGCACCGTGACTTTCTTTTTTCTTGGTCCTTCAGTTACAAGCCAGTTTAACATCATTGGAAGACAGCTCGAATCTGTACTGCATTGATTGGACAAAAATCTGAAAAAGAAAATGAACCCGGCAATATTCCGTTCAACACGCTGATCGTGGGGCCGACCACCTCAGGCAAAACGCGGTTCCTCGTGAACCAGCTCTGTGACCCTTTTCGCGGCAAATTCGATTACATCGCGCTCATCTGCCCGACGTTTGCCCATAACAAGACGCTTTTCCGCTTCGGTGGAAGAGATCCGCGGCTGTTCGTGATCATCTGCGAGCAGTACAGGGTTAAATTTTGGTTGAAACTAGCGAGTTTCGTTTTTGTAGGCGCCAACATGCTGACTGTCCTTGACGAGTGCGCGGCCTCCAAGGACGTGAAAGGTCGCACCGGCGAGCTCGTTAAACTCGGCTTTTCCGCCTGTCACCCGAACATCATCGTGTGGGTGCTGACCCAGCAGCTCTCTAGCATCGCGAAGCCGTTCCGTGAAGATGTGGCGGCTATCGTGCTGTTTTACACCCCTTCGGCAAGACCACGAAGGCGATTTTTGAAGAATACGCGGGAGAGCTTTCGCAGGATGACCTAAAGCAGCTGATTGCGAGGTTGAAAGAGAGAAAGTTCTCCCACCTTGTTTTCTCTCTTCGCCACCCGTACGAGATTAAATTTTCGAATTAAAAAAGAAAAACGTTAACTAAATGGCGGATCTTACGGCTGATGATATGAAAGTTATGGAAGAAGTCGCTCAGATGCTCGAAACCGAGCCCGCAAGTGGTGGAAACGCTATTGCTCAGCCAGACATCCCGGCCCTCCGTGAACAGCTGGCGATTCTGGTTTCTACAGGCAAAGCAAAGGAAGCCATCGGCGTTCAGCTTACACAAGAGCAGGTTAAGCGCTTGGAAGCTAAAGATATTGAAAAGTTCTACAAAAGGTACGAGACTTATGTAGGCGCCAAGACCACTGAAACCTTTGTTGAAAGCTGTATCTCGTTGTACACCAGGGGGTTGGGATATTTTTGCCGATTAATGACATTGAAGCTCTGCAGAATGATCTCATCTCAGTCCACCTGAGCAAACTACTAAGTATTGCCCAGCAGTTGTTGAGCAAACTGCTGAATAATTAGTAAGCAATACCTCAATTAAATATTTTTTGTTGAATAAAATAATGGCAGATTCAGAAACCACTCATGACACACAAGAGCAGGTAACTTCAAAAACACCAACTACGGCACCTGTGAAAGAAAAAGACCCGAAGAAGGTGGCTGCGGGCAAAGCTGTCGCTGAGAGAACAAAACAGACGCGCGGAGCACAAAAAAAGCTGCGGAAGCCGCTGTAGCTGCAGACCTCGTTTCTCCAGAAGACGCCGTAGCTGCGAGCCTCGTTCCTCACAGCAAAAACCAGCCAAGCGTTCATGAGGCGCCCAAGGAAGACACGAAAAACACTATCAGCACGACTCAGTGGCTCACTATAGTCAGCATCGTGGTTTCCGTCATTTCCCTCTACTACAAACGAGAAGAGATAAAAAAGGTTTTCAATCGACAGCCTTCTACGCCTCATGGATCTGTTGATACTCGACCAGTTGAGGCAATGCCTGTCCGAAGAAGATTGCTCCGGCATATGGATTGATATTTGAAAAGAAAAAAGACGCACATTATACGATGACAGACAAAGACAACAAGCTCGTTAAAACGATCATGGATGCGGCCGTTCTCACCGGCTTAACCGCTGGCATTGGCTGGATTGCAAACAAGAAGATCTGTTAGATCTTATAACCGCGCTTTTAAAATTTAACTGTTTGCTTAGCACTACCGTCGGAACGCAGTGCATATTCCAAAGCAGTCATTGATGATTCTTTTCTTACTGTAGACATCACATCACTTGATCAACACAAACTGTATTATTGCACCATCAGTGGTAGCCA